ATAGAATTTTCATTTGTTCGAATTATCAAAGTGTCGATGGCCTGTATACACGCACATAAATTTTGAGCCCAATAATAAGACAGAATTGGCCTGAAATTTGTTACTCGGGGGTTTTTGGGGTCGCTGCTTCCGAATTTGATGTCAGATTTAGAAAATTCAAAATGGCTGATCCAATATGGCGACCAAAAATTTTGAAAATTGACCATATTCGCTTGAAACTCGTTACTCGGGGGTTTTTGGGGTCGCTGATTCCAAATTTGATGTCAGAATTACAAAATTTCAAAATTCAAAATGGATACAATAATAATCACACCCATACTATGCCATTTTGAATTTTTGAAATCTGACTTTAGATTCGTAATCAGCGACCCCAAAAACCCCTGAGTAACAATTTTTAAGTATTTTTAAATCATTTTTGCCATTTTTTGAAAAATTGTCCGCCATATTGGCTCGGCCATTTTGAATTTTTGAAATCTGATTTTGGATTCGTAATCAACGACCCCAAAAACCCCCCGAGTAACAATTTTTAAGTATTTTTAAATGATTTTTGCCATTTTTTGAAAAATCTTCCGCCATATTGGCTCCGCCATTTTGAATTTTTAAAATCTAACTTTGGAATCGTAATCAGCGACCTTAAATACCATAGTATACACATTGGCACAAATTTTGGTCATTCAAAAATTTACTGACATTTTGGACCCACTTATGAGATTTTGGCCTCGACTGCGAAGGGGTTAACCGAAAAATCATTTAACAGCACAGAAAATTAAAAGGCATTAAAATAAGCTGCAATGCTTATTATTTTAATCCAATTTTGCCTATTTTAATCCATTTTGGTATTAAAATAAGCAAAATTGGATTAAAATATAATAAGCATTGCAGATTATTTTAATGCCTTTTAATTTTCTGTGAGAATTTCTATAATTGATAAAATTTTCATTTGTCCGAAATTGCAAAATGGCCGAAGCAACAATCGATTTTGGCGCGATTTTTAAAATAAAACCAATCAAAAATTATTCATAAAATTGTGATTGGTTGATTTTAAAAATTGCGCCAAAATCGATTGTTGCTTCGGCCATTTTGCAATTTCCGGACAAATAAAAAATTCTATCAATTAGAAATTTTGTTAAATGATTTTTTAGTTAAGTTTCCCAGTTTATTCATGCGTCTCATCATTTCAATAAAAAATTCATTTTATAAATATTTGAATTAAAGTTTACATGAAAAAATTATCATATTTAATTGAATAAAATATACAATGAATTAAAGATAAAAATATTAAGAGTATATTTAGGGTTCTTATATACAGTATATATATATATATATATATATATACACTGCAAAATAGAAATGCTCTACTGCGTTTCGGGTATTTGAATTCAAATGTTTTTTTTTTTTAAATATGATAAACAAAAATAAATAAAAATAAATATCACTTCCTTAAAATCTTTTATAGTGATATGAAAATTCATGGTATTTAATTTCTTTCTAATCTTTGGATCTTCGCGTTTCGATGGGAAAACTTGACACTCAAGCCTTCTGTCGCTCGAAAAAAAGAGAGAAAGCTGCCAGAAACGTATAAATTAAAAATGTAAATGGACGTCGTTGAAATAGCGTGCAGAGAGCACTACGATCCCGATTAAATGCGAGCGATAAAAACAACGGTCGAATGTCTTTTGCGTTTTGCCTCAACGTTATAGAATGAGATGGGAAAAAAAAAGAATAAAAAAAAAAAAAAAAAACTAAGTGCCAGGGTTAAGAAGATAGAAAATACAACGTTTCTTTAACTTGTTTACACGGTTTCATACATTTACTATTGTGTAAAACAAAAATTAACTTTAATTTCAAAAAATTTCACACCTTTTTTGTTTGATAATGTATATTAAGGTGTAAATGATTTTTAATTGAAATTTTAACCTTTAAACTACTGCAGGGTGATAAAAAAAATGACGTTAGTACTATTCTCGGCCTGTCAGACCGACATTTTTTTTTTTTTATTGATTCCAAATTGTAATTTAAATAAAATTAAATTTATATTCAATTATTTATCAATGTTTATATTTTTTACATTAAAAAAGTTATTTTATTTATAAATAAATAAAGTATTTACATGTTTACAGAATCACGAAAACGTTAAAACAATAATTTTTTAGGTTATGATCAAAAATGCTAACGACAGAGTCACCAAACATAACTGCGCATGCGCTACTTCAACTCTCTCATTGGTAGAAAAAGGCGTTTTTATTAAAAATGCTTTATTATAAAAAAAATATTTAGAAAACAATCAAATAATTCTAATTGTTCAATTTATTGTTTTTTTTTGATTTTAGAAATATAAATTTCTTTTGAAGCCAAGATTTAATTAATCAAGTGGTGTTTTTTAATTTTTGGCCTATTGACTTTTTATTTTAACATCAATTTACATTACATTACGTCGAAACGCGTAATGTAAATTGATGTTAAAATAAAAAGCCAATAGGCCAAAAATTAAAAAACAACACTTGATTATTGTTTTTATATTTAATTACAATGTTCTTTTTTAAAAAATTAATTTTTACTTATTTTGAAATTAATTTTTCCTAAGATTAATTTTTCTAATTGTTAAAATGGCTTCTTTCTATAAAAATTAACTTTTAAATTAAAGAACTCAGTAATTAATCATCATAAGGACTTTTTTAAAGTAGTCAAAAATTTTTGAATTTAATAATAATAATAATTCACACACTTGCTTTGTTGATTTTTAAAATTATTTGAACTTAATAATAATTTTAAAATAAGCATAAAAAATTAATTTTTATTAAAAAAAAACATTGTAATTAAATATAAAAGCATAATAAATTAAACATGTAAATTTTTTTTGTTTTCTAAACATTTTTTTACATTTAAGCGTTTTAAATAAGAGCGCTTTTTTCTACCAATGAGAGAGTAGAAGTGGCGCAAGCGCACTTGCGTTAAGTGACGATTATTAATTATCATTGCACAGACAAAAGTAGTTGCGCACAAAGATGCGCAGCAGTTAATAATTCCAATATCAGACTCGAGAAATGCTACTAAGACAAAAAATTGTAGGTTATGTTCAGTGAGCTTTAGTTTAATTAAACAGTTCATTTTTAAAATATGTAAATTCATATTTTTACATCTAAATTTCAATTAAATTCCAAAACAATAAATTAAATTTCTAACTTGTAATAACCCAAAATTAGGGGTCCAAAAGACCGCTATGGCAGTTTAAAGGTTAATATAAAAAATAATGCGACTTAATTAAAAAAAAAAAAAAATTTCCAAATGCTATTAATTAAAAAAGTTATAAATATCAAAAAGAAGTGTTATAAAAATTTATTTGCCGAGGAAGTAAAGAGATAGAATTTCGCATAAATATATATTTATATGAGAGAGAGAGAGAAAAAAAATGGTGCTTGATATTACGTGGTATATATGCCAGGTAGAATTCGAATTTCGTTTATTATTAATTTTGAGATCCGCAACGGGATACTGGACCCCCGCGAGTGTGTCAGCAATGGGATGGTCCATTGCGTTTTGTTTTTGACTGCGCGCGGAACCAAAACGAAACTCCCCTTGAGACAATGGACGCCTGTGGCGCTGATGTCTCCGACGACGTCTGGGACCCCCTGAGGGTTGGGGGCGCCGTTCACCATACACCTATATAGAGACGTCAGTTATCCTGCCCCCCTCCACACCCCCTCCCCCACCGTTATCCTACTATTTTGAATTAAAGAAATTTTTTAAACCACAATGATTGCGGAACACATTTTTTCCGAAGGGGGAAATTTTTTTTTTTTATACGGAGCGCATGAATTTCCCATAAAAATAATTAGTTAGGATATTCATTAATTTTTTTTTTAATTTATTTTTTTACTTTTTAGATGAATTATCATTTGATAGAATTTCTTTTTTTACGAATTTTTTTATTTTTCATTTTTACGAGCCGAATTTTTGTTTTAGAAAATTTTTCTTTATTCTACTTTTTATTTTAAAAAAATCATAATTTACACAAATATAAATAGGTACAATTTAGCAGAATTTTTATTTTAAATAATTATATAAGTGATTCGAATTTTTAAATGTCGAAATTTCAAAATCATCGAATCTTTATATTTGTTCCATAATTTTCATTTGGCCGAAATTTTATTGAATAGAATTATTAAAACGACGAATTACTTTTTGTCCGAAAGTACAAATGACCGAACAAACAATCGACAGAAATATTTAGGCGCGAAATTTAAAATTTATCAATCACGATTCTCTTGATAATTTTCGATTGGTTAATTTTAAAATTCGCGCCAAAATTTATATTTCTGTCGATTCTGTTTGTTCGGTCATTTGTACTTTCGGACAAATGGTAATTCGGCGTTTTAAAAATTCTTTCATATAAATATTCGGACAAATTATGGAAATTTAGGCATTTAAAAATTGGAACCAATTAAAATTTTGTTAAATAAGAATTAAGCATAATTAATATTAGGTTAAAATAGAAATTTTTTAAATAAAAAGTTGGGCAACGAGAAATTCTGTAAAATGAAATTTTGTAAAATAAAAATTCTGTTAAATAAAAAATTCTTTCGAATAAAAATTAGAATAAAAATTCATTTAAAACGAAATTCTGTCAAATACTATAATTCAAAAAATAAAAATTCGACTAAAAAATAATTACATCTAATAAAAATTCTTTAAAATGAAAATTTCAACTAATTTTCATGGAAAATTCGAAAACTTACGAAAAAAAAGGTTTACCAATAAAAAATTCTCAGAAGAGAATTTTCTCCTCTTTTCAATGATTTTCAATACTTATAAATAAAAAAAAAAAATAAATTATTATTTTTCTAAAGGAAAATATTGAAAATACTTACGCCCTGAAAAATTGCAGCAATGTTGTCACGTAACATATATATATATTGAAAATGAAGATGAAGATGAGACGTCCAATGGAAGTAAAAACATGTAACAAACGAACATACGAACATATGTAAAATATTATATTTAGAATGCGCGTAAATCTGTCCACCCACGATTGCTCGTGAATTTCAGGTTCGTTTGGCTGGAGTTTGCAGTCTCCCATAATGTGTTTATATACTCACGGAAGATGGATCCTAGAGACAAGACCATGGTGAACACAGCACATGAAACAAAAAACAAAAAAGTATTAAGATTATAGTTAATTTACGATTAGTCGAATGAAATAAAAAAAAAAAAATTCTAAAATTACTATTTAAAAAAAGACAGACCTCCATTTCAAAATGCTAAAAATCACATATTTACTATTTTTATTCTAATTTCAAAAAAAAATTTATAGAGCCCGTTTTCACAGTGGGGATAAAAATCTTCCGAGAGGTTAAAGACAATAGATATATTCAGCGTTTGCGCAGAAGCTGTATACATTCTGCGCAGGCGCAGAGTATATCTACCGCCTTTGCGTCTGCGCAGAAGCTGCTTACAAACATTCTGCGCAGACGCAAAGGCGGTATAAATACTCTGCGTCTGCGCAGAATGTATACAGCTTCTGCGCAGACGCTGAATAACTGCCTTTAACCTCTCGGAAGATTAAATTTATCCATACACGGTGAAAACGGACTCATACTTAAAAGTATGAATATTAAAATAAAAAAATATTTGTTTTTAATTATTTATTTTTTTTATTGTCAGAAACGACTCTATCGAGGGCGCCGTAAAAAATTACAAATTTCACATTTAACGCCCACTGGAAACAATAAATAATAATTTAAAAACAAAAATTGTCCCTTTTAATTAAAATATTATATTTTCAAGTTTAAATCTTTTTTTTATAATAAAAATAAGAGCAAAAATAATAAAAATGTACCTATTTTTTGCATTCTAAAACAAATGTCAGCTTTAATATTCTAAAATTCTAAAATTAAAAATATTGACAGCTCAAGAGAACAAACCAAAAAAAAAAAAAAAAAATGTATAAAAATTTTACTGTGTGACAAGCATATAAATCAATATGTAATTGGTTTTATTGGAGAAGTGTGGTATTTTTAGGGAGAAATCAATGGTTCAACAAGATTGTAATTTTCAATTTTGGTGAAAGCAGCGCGGACATATAACGTTCAACACAAGGTAGTGAATAACGAGTATACAAGAATAATTTATTTTTTTTAATATTATTTTCAAGTTCTCTTTCTTTTCATTTTTATTTTCTCTCTTTGCAAAAACGTTTTACTTTGTAATTTCTCGTGCACGCAATCTCGTGTGGCGGTTTTTCTTAAGTCTTTTTCTCGAATATATATATATATATATATATATGCAGGTGATGAGCACAACTTATTGCCGGAGCTATTATGCAGGCAAAAATCATAATTGGAATGTAATCACCAATGCAATTCTCTGCGACGAAACATAGATACCATTAATTTTCTCCACTTCGATTATCATTAAAAAAAAATAAATATAAACATGCCACTGAAAAATAAATAAATTTTTTCTTTTTGATAATAATTAATATAATTTTTAGTCAATAGAATCCACTATTATATATTTTTTTTGGATCATTAATTGTAATTTTTACTGTCGATTTAGAAAAAAATAAAAAAAAGTATTCGGATTGAAAAAAAAATTGTTGATTTTTGCCTCGCGGGATTTTTATATATATATATATAATAAAATGCGCGCGCTATAGAGACGTTCTACGATCGGGCACAATATATTGATTATGCATGTCTCGTGCTGGAATGAAAATTGCGATTAATTTGATGGTGTCCTCCTCTCGGACTACATAAATATAGATGTTCTGTTTAAAAGCCCATTTTCTCATGTTTAGCATAATACGTAATCAAGCGGTATCGCGGCTACCGGTTCCTTCTCTCTCTTGCTCCCCATCCCCCCCCCCCTTTTTTTTTGTTTCCTCGAACTTATAACACTGTTGTGGGATGAATTGTAATTTTTTTTTTTGTTATTAGCATAAATTCACATTCTTGTGATACAATCCTAGTTATATTTTCAGTTATAATTTTTTCCAAACATAAAATAATATTCTAAGAAAATTTTTCTTTCCTAATTCACTTATTATTACTTTCTGGGATCAACAAAAATTCTTTCACTGATTTTTTATGAAACCGTTGCCATAGGTCCATAGCAACCATTACCATGACAACTGTTACCACAGCAACGGTTTCCATAGCAACCGTTACTATGGCAACCATTACCATAGCAACCGTTGCCATAGGTCCATAGCAACCGTTACCACAGCAACTGTTTTCATAGCAACCGTTACCACAGCAACTGTTTTCATAGCAACCGTTACCATAGCAACCGTTACCACAGCAACTGTTTTCATAGCAACCGTTACCACAGCAACTGCTTTCATAGCAACCGTTACTATGGCAACTGTTGCCATAGGTCCATAGCAACCGCTACCACAGCAACTGTTGCCATAGGTCCATAGCAACCGTTACTACAGCAACTGTTTCCATAGCAACCGTTGCCATAGGTCCATAGCAACCGTTGCCATAGGTCCATAGCAACCGTTACCACAGCAACTGTTTCTATAGCAACCGTTACTATGGCAACCGTTGCCATAGGTCCATAGCAACCGCTACCACAGCAACTGTTCCCATAACAACCGTTACTATGGCAACCGTGGCCATAGGTCCATAGCAACAGTTACCACAGCAACTGTTTTCATAGCAACCGTTACCATAGCAACCGTTGCCATAGGTCCATAGCAACCGTTACCACAGCAACTGTTTTCATAGCAACCGTTACTATGGCAACTGTTGCCATAGGTCCATAGCAACCGCTACCACAGCAACTGTTGCCATAGGTCCATACAAACCGTTACTACAGAAACTGTTTCCATAGCAACCGTTGCCACAGGTCCATAGCAACCGTTACCACAGCAACTGTTTCTATAGCAACCGTTACCACAGCAACTGTTTCTATAGCAACCGTTACCACAGCAACTGTTTCTATAGCAACCGTTACTATGGCAACCGTTGCCATAGGTCCATAGCAACCGCTACCACAGCAACTTTTCCCATAACAACCGTTACTATGGCAACCGTGGCCATAGGTCCATAGCAACCGTTATTACATCAACGGTTTCCATAGCAATCGTTACTATGGCAACCGTTTCCGTATCAACAGTTTCCATAGGTTCATAGCAACTGTTTCTGTAGCAAACGTTGCCATAGGTTTATAGCAACTGATTTCATAAGAACTTTTACTATAGCAACCGTTACTATGACAACCGTTGCCTTAGGAAAACGTTACCGTAGCAAACTATTTTTATTATATACAAACTAATTTTTGACCAGAATTTTAAAACAAAAGAAAGAAAAAAATACCCGAATGATAAAAGACACTCGAAACCCTATATATAGATAAAGGGACTGATTTTTATATTATAAATAATGAACAAAAATGATGTTCTCTTATCTCAAGGGTTCATATTTTTTTTTAGAAATTCTTTCAGAAAACTTTTTTTTTTTTTAAATATTTAAAAGGAATTCTTCTATAAATGTATTAAGAAAAAAAAAATCAAAAGAGATATATATATATACTAAATTGACATAACTTTCCATATCATTTAGCATTTTATATGTTCGAGATTTTGAAAATATTATCTGGAATCATTCATCATATTTTGATGGAGTGTGGCTATTTTATGAATGGACATACACTGTAGAAATTTATCGCGATTAAATCTAACCTTCGCTGAACTTCCGTAGACGATTCGTTAGACGAGTTTTATTAATGATGTCTCCAGTTATCTTAATAGTTATTTCGTTCGTCCCTGAGATATCCTTTGTGGCCTTCTATTTCTTATTTCGAAAATCTTTTTTTTACTTTCAATAATTTTCGAATAGCAAATTATTAGTCAAAAATTAAAGAAAAAATATTCTTTTTAGGGGAAGAAAAAATTTTATTTCACAATATTAAAATCTGTGAATAGGTGATAATATTATTAAAAAAAAAAAAAAGAGACGAAAGGTAATATTTCTTCTGAAAAATATTCAGTATATCACATTGAAGGGAGGTTTAGGCTTGTGAGCGCAAAAGGGCGAAATAGGTTTCTTTTTCGTACTTTTTCCGAGTAGGTCGGTGTTAGGTCGTAAAAATCCTCCTATATAATACGTATATATATATACCAACGCTTCTCTCTCGCATCGTAAACCCTCACCATCTTTCGCTCTTTGGTTCCGTTTTCTTTCTTTTACCTTTACTGAATACGATCTAATATTATTACTGTGATACCCTCTAGGATGATATGATATACTGCATTTTATGCACCTGAGCGAGTAGAGAAAAAAAAATTACATGAAAAAAAAAGAGAAGGACCCTTTGGTGTATTAAAAAATTTTTTTTCAAATGTAAAGTAAGAACGTAAATTTTCAATTGTTCACTTATAATATAACTTATAGTAAATTATACAAAATATACATTGAAAAAAAAAGAATTACTTGGAACAAATAAAAATTACTTGATCCAAGTAAATAATTTATTTTGTCTAATATATCCAGTAAATATATGTATTTGAACCGAATAAATATTTAGTCCCACTTGGAAAGATTCCCCGGAAAGTGCCACCTGGAGGTTCTATCAGAATTCCGCCGGAACTTCCAACGTAATTCCGTCGGAATTCCATCGGAGTTCCAAAGAATTTTCGATGGGATTCCGACGGAATTCTAACGGAATTCCGATTAATTTTTTTTTAAATTTTTAGAGTCCTAATTCCGCCGGAATCCTATCGGAAATCCTTTGGAACTCCGATGGTATTCCGACGGAATTCCGCTTAATTTTTTTCAAAATTTTTAGAGTCCTAATTCCGTCGGAATCCCATCGGAAATCCTTTGGAACTCCGATGGAATTCCGACGGAATTCTGACGGAATTCCAATTAATTTTTTTTCAAAATTTTTAGAGTCCTAATTCCGTCGAAACTCCGTCGGAATACCAAAGGAAATCTTTTGGAACTCCGATGGGATTCCGACGGAATTCCAATTAATTTTTTTTCAAAATTTTAAGAGTCCTAATTCCGTCGGAACTCCGTCGAAAATCCGTCGGAATCCCATCGGAAATCCTTTGGAAGTCCGATGGAATTCCGACGGAATTACGTTGGAAGTTCCGGTGGAA